GCCAAAAGCAGTGATTTCTGAGTTGATTTCTATTCAAAGGAATTTTTTATGGGGTGGGCCTGAGTTAAAAAGGAAGATTGCTTGGGTCAAGTGGGATCTTATTTGTTGTAGTAAGGAGAAAGGAGGTTTAGGGGTACAGGATTTACGTAGGAGAAATTGGGCATTATTAGGAAAGTGGTGGTTTCGATTTGGTGATGGTGTGGCAAATTTATGGAAACAGGTGTTGAGGGATAAATACTATAGGGGTAAGGAGGTGGTTGATATCACTGCAGTGGACACTTGGCAATTGTCCAAGATTTGGGGTGATGTTATTCATATAGGAGGGATTTCTGAGAGGCTACGAAATATGCTAGTGAGAGGGTTTAAGTGGGAGGTGAGTGATGGTTGAAGGGTGGGCTTCTAGAGGGATAGTTGGGTGGGAGATAAACCTTTACGCGACTTATGTCCTAGATTATTTGCATTGAGTACGAACCAAGAGGGTATGGTTAGTGAGATGGGGCATTGGGAAAGGGATAGCTGGTGTTGGAGTATTGCATGGAGAAGGGAGAGAATGGGTAGGGAGAGGGATGAAGAGGAGTTGTTAATGAAGTTGCTAGGAAAGGTTCGAATAAAGATTGGTGGGGATGATTGTTGGAGATGGGTGCATGATTCTGAAGGAAATTATGTAGTAAAGAAAGCTTATGAGTTCTTAGCTCCTTTGGAGTCTGTTTTGCAAGGCCAGCTTTGTAGATTGGTTTGGTGCAACTTAGTGCCATCCAAGGTATCTTTTTTTGGGTGGCGATTATGTCTTGATAGACTTCCAACAAAAGGGAACTTATACAAAAGAGGGGTAGATATGCAAGAAGGAAGTTTAATGTGTAGTTTTTGCAATGAGGCAATGGAGGAAATAGATCATTTATTTTGTACATGTAAGGAAGTATGGTTACTATGGGCAAAGGTGCTACATTGGTGGGGGGTGGAATCTATGTTACCAAATTCAGTGGCAGCCATAGCTGAATTTTTCTGGTTTAGTTTTGGTAGGTTGGTTGGGAAAGAGATGGGTGCTTGTATGTTTCTAATTAATAGTTTCTTGGTATTTATGGTATTGGAGAAATGCTGTTGTGTTTCAAAATAATGGGAGCTTCAAGGAGAAATTGTTGGATATGGTTCAAATCAAGTCCTTTTCTTGGATTAAATCTAAGAATACTAGCGCCATGTTCTCTTTTCATGAATGGATGGGTGACTCAGTTGCTTGTGCATTGGAGGTGAGGAGGCATAAAAGGGAACTAAAGAGGTATTTGAAGCTGAAACAGGGTCATATATGATCAGCAGTGGGGGCTTGATTGCTTGTGGCTAATGTGTTTTTATTATAAATTATGTCAGTTTTGCTAGGTCTTTATTATGATAGTTTAGTCTTTTATTTTCTAAATGGGTTGGAGTACCCCTTATACTCCGATTAATAAATTATTTTAATTTGCTAATAAAAAAAATAAAAAATGGTAATTAATTTGAGATAAATTTAAAATAAAAAATAATACTCACTTTATTTATTTTTAATAAATTTAATTTAATTTTTTGACTTCTCAAATATAAATTTTAAATGAAAATTTAACTTCTATAATTAAT